GGTGGGCGAGAGGGGGGGGGGGGGGGGGGGGACTGAGGAGTTATTGTTTAGCATGATTACACCTGTCTGTACTGTGCTGGCAGATCTGGTTATTACTTGTAAGCTAGATGTGCATACTTCTTCTCCTAACAGATGTTTACAAATATCAAGGGCTGGGTGGTTTATTGTATGTTATTGCACTTTTCTTTTTTTGTTAAATGTCCCTATAATGTATTGTTCAGCAGGTTATTGTGAACAATTTGAGCTGCCTGTAGAGTCATGTGTATAATCCTGATCCAAAGAAACAATTAGTAAGGTGAATGAAATATATAAAAAACACTTTATATGACAATCTTAGTATTCAGCAAATTGCAACAGAATGTTTGATGGATGAAGGTGTAGAGATGCAGTGATACAAGCTGCAATTTTTTATAAAACATATATTACAGGCATGAAAAGCTCTCTCACATTAAGGAATCTGCTACTTTGAACACAATTTTCTTTTCCTCCAAAAAAACATACCCTAAAGGTCACTTACCGACGTGTGGGCACCAATGGACCATTGAATAAAGATAAACTGCCAGGAATCTTGATTGGGAGCTCCCCTTGGCTAGGAGACCATTAAATCACAACGTGTACCTGTCCTCTGCATTCTGCACAGTGTTTCACACCTGCTCCTGGGTTACAGGTCAGGGTGGAGGAGCCTGTAGGCAGGTGTCTCGGTGGCAGCTCTTCAAAGTGTCCGTAAAAAGGTGACTGCACTTTTACAGCTGCCATTGCACTCAGTTCCTTCTGCTTTTTGGCAGTGTGTGCCCTCCTTCTTCCTCTGAATAATACTTTGTAAGATGTGCTGTAGTGTTCAGGAACACTGACTCAGTTCAGTATGTATCAGCACTGGTGCACATTTAGGTAGCACAGAGAGCAGTAAGTCTTCATGAATATGCAGACATATTGCTGGCTGTTGTACATACATGCCTGTCTCTTTCTCTCTAACATGCTATATTTTATGTTTGGTTAAATACAAGCAGGTGATTAGTTTACACAGTTATATTATAGTTAAAGGTGGAGTGTGGTGGAAGTCAGCTTCTGGTTTCTTATATGCCTTGGATGCTCCAACAGAAAGTTCCCTGTCAATATTCTCAACACTTGATGCTAAGACACAGACTCCGCAGTTTTTTACCTTTAGATCCTGAATACTTACCCAATGACTTCCATTAGTACCCCAGCAGCCAATTCCAGCACTGCTTTTAGAGGAGTTAGTATTTAGAGACACATCTACAGCTGACAGTGTTACCAAAGACCTGATAACAATAAAACATGACCACTCCCCCTTTTGCTAAATCCTTTAGCCACCCTCTGTGACCCCATGAAGCCATCCCAGCACAACTGGTGCTCATGCCAGGCTATGTCCCTACACAGCTGGGTACCTGTCCCTAAACACACATTTTACCACCCCCAGCCACACGTGGCTCTGCCTCTTTGACAGTATTGCCCGCTGAGATGATCTAACTAGATAGGCATGCTAGTAATTAGTCAAACATGCCAAGACATTGTTAGCTGTGGGCAGTCCAAAGATGGACTGGTAGGTTAATGGGCTTCCTCCCAAGCTGATCAGATTGTTGCACGGACACTCTCCCAGACATAAGACTGTGAAGTAATGAGAGCTTTGAAGTGGAATATTTATTTGTCACAGAGGATAGATCGTTCGTATGAAAAAAAACAATCTGTATGGCTTAAATTTTTTTGTAATATGAGCAACCTGATTTCATGTCAGATAAATCCAATTGTTGTACATAATACACATGCTCATTTTCTGAACCTAGAAACATCATTTCAATATAATGAAGTATCACTGCATATGTATTTTATGAGTGGACGATCTCTCTGATAAAAAAACAACTGCTACTGTTTTTGAAAAAAATCTTGTGTCTTTGGGTAGATTTAGATTGTGAGCTCCTTTAAGGGACTAATGGGGTTTTATGTGCACTGTGAGTCCAGAACCAAGAGATGAATTTCTGCAACAAAGGCCATGTCCAAGGCGGAAGGGTAGCTGAAGGCGGCATATAAACATTCATAAAGCATGTTCCTGACAGCCTGAATCACCATCTCAAGCACAATAAGAGGGTTTCCAGATTGCCACCCTGCCTTCCGCTGCAGTCTAGCAGGATTTTCATTGTTACTGCCCCTGTTTGTTGGTTGAATAGCTTCCAGCTAACTATTTCTGAATCCATACACTTAGAAGGGATCTGCTATTGGAGTAGAACTCTGAATGTTTTCCTTACTTTTCTAGCTGTGGGTCTCTTTCTGCCTCTCTGCTGCCAGCTCCAGACCTTACCTGTGGCTCTTAAGTCCGATCCTGATACTAAGGGCCATGTCAGCATGGTGATTGTGCCTGTGGCCACACCTCTCTAGTGGCAGAATCACCAAGGTGCCATTGACACCATCCCTAACCAGTGGCACTCCATCTTTGGTCAATGTGCTGCAGGATTTCACTCTTTGGCAAGGGAGCAGCAACGCAGCAATGTTTTGCTGGTTCAGTCAGCAAGGGAACAGCAACAGAGCGATGTCTTGCTGGTTCAGCCAATAAGGGAGCAGAAACTGGGCAATATCTTGCTGGTTCAGCCAACAGGGGAGCAGCAACAGAGTAATATCTTGCTGGTTCAGCCAGCAAGGGAGCAGCAACGTAGCAATGTTTCGCTGGTTCAGCCAACAAGGGAGCAGCAACGGAGTGATGTTTCGCTGGTTCAGCCAACAAGGGAGCAACAACGGGGTAATATCCTGCTGGTTCAGTCAAAAGAGGAGCAGCAACAGAGTAATATCTTGCTGGTTCAGCCAGCAAGGGAGCAGCAACGTAGCAATGTTTCGCTGGTTCAGCCAACAAGGGAGCAGCAACGGAGTGATGTTTCGCTGGTTCAGCCAACAAGGGAGCAACAACGGGGTAATATCCTGCTGGTTCAGTCAAAAGAGGAGCAGCAACAGAGTAATATCTTGCTGGTTCAGCCAGCAAGGGAGCAGCAATGGAGCAATATCTTGCTGGCTCAGCCAGCAAGGGAAGAACAATGGACCTATGTCTTGCTAGTTCAGTCAGCAAGGGAAGAGCAACGGAGTGATGTCTTGCTGGTTCAGCCAGCAAGGAAACAGCAACAGAGACATATCTTGCTGGTTCAGCCAGCAAAGGAACAGCAACAGAGTGATATCTTGCTGGTTCAGCTAGCAAGGGATCAGCAATGGAGCGATGTCTTGTTGGTTCAGACAGCAAGGGAGCAGCAATGGAGCGATATCTTGCTTTAGCCAGCAACGGAGCAACAACATGGAACTGCACAGACCTACTCCCCTTAAATAATAAATTACCAGCAACCATTGTTATATGTAATAAAGAAAGACACAGAAGAATAGTTAAAATGAAATGGCTTTGTTTTGACCATGGTAACTCTGTTGAGGTTTAACATTTTGTGATAGTAATAAAAAATAACAAATAATTGTAATAAATAGATCACAATAATTGTGATAAATAGACTCATAGAGCCATTAGGCTCAAA